AGACCAAGAACTCTTCGACGACCAGCGAGAACAAAGACGAGTTTGTGAACCAAGGCAAGTATAACATGGGCCTTCCTTGATGTCCTAATTCACTTTAATCAATTACTCATTTGCATGTGTCTAATCTTGATACCCGTAAGGACATCCTAGTGATTGTTTATCCTGCTTCCTTGTCTCCTATGGGTTAAATGCATATGGGTAGATTGCTAGTGCTCTAACCGAACTTGATATACCTGTTGATGAATGATACTATGGAACAAAGTGAGTAACATGATTTATAACAACTGTTCCATAGGGCGAAAGTGCAAATGACCTTTGTTCATGTTGCTCCCTGCCCTCCATAAGGACTTATCTGTGCAAAAAATTGGGGGTGACGACCTTTGTTCATGTGATGCTCAGGCCCGATCTTTCATAGAGGTACTTATTCGATATGTGGAGATCTCGACGTTGGCGATCCGGCTTCAAATCGGGCAGCGATTCGAGGCAACCTGGGATTGTTACCCATCGCTCATAGGTTATCAACCAAGCACAACTTGATTGACCTCGCCAAGAAGGCTTTTCACCGCAGCTTTAGCACAAGCGAGAAGGTAAAACACGCATCAATAATAGGAACTTCGGTTCCAAAGGACTATCTTTCCTAACTAGTTAGCGGAAAACTACTCTAAACAAAACCCAATTGTGTAGCAAACGGCGGCTGTGTTTATAGTCTAAGACTTGCCTAGGGTTGGGGACGGCCAGGGGTTGGGCGCCCACAACTTGGGCTTAAGGCCTGACACGATACATGTGTATAAATAGGTGACGCAGCACCTTGCCGTGGTCACACAGAATATCCACGCCTTCTGGAGCTGGGACCAGATCCAAAACGACAGGGTTCCTCAACGCATCCAAGAACGGCCCGTTTCGACGTCGTATGAGGAAGTTATGACCAAAAACCGTGTGTTCCGCTGAATCTTGACGTGGTAGGGAAACCTACTGAAGACCATGGCGTCATAGTGTACCCTCATCAATATGGCTCGACTTTAGCTCAATAATAGGATCTTTCCTGGAAGTGACATGGGAGTAATTAACGTTGGGTATAGGGCTGCCTGAGGTATCACGATGGATATGTGCCATGGAAAGGGGTTCCTAATGTGCACCACCTATGCGGCCCTAACTTGGGTAACAAAATGGCTTCATAGTGTACCCTGCCTGGCTCACCTTGGAAGTGACATGGGAGTAATTAACCCGGGCATATGGGGATCACGACTCATGGTGAATGTGCACCACCTCTGCGAGAGGGTAACAAATCATTATAAACTCACACAGTTAAAAGCGCCCGAAAACTCACAGAATAACTGGTTACTTGTTGATGATAATTTAAAGTTGTTCAATGATGATATATGGTACACTTGACCCCGATATATGTTCTTATAGGAATTTAATGGGAGCTTAAGCATAACTTGATAATACTTGAGAATAAAAGCTTGACCTATTAAAAATGCTAACTGCAGTTAACCAGAGTATAACCTTTTGAGCTTCATAACCCCATGTTAGCTTGCTAAGTACGGAATGTACTTACACTTGTTTATTTTCTTTACTTGGATAAAAATCGGATGGGTAACAGATGACAACGGGTATGAGGATTTCTCGGAGGATTATTAGGCTTGTGGTCAACCAGTTGACCTTCCCTGTGATGACGGCCACGAGAGTTTTATCATCTTTTTATTATTCCGCTGTGATGTATAAGACTAAGTTTTATTATAACTCTGATGTATGAGACACCGTGATGATACTTTATGTAATTTGTCAGCTTGTGTGTGTGATTGATTCCTGGGCACACACGAGTTTTGTGCATTCAATTTTATCCTTAAAATTGGGTGTGACAGAAACAAAAACATTGGATCTTCATGGTTGAGTAGAAGGTCCGGAACTCTTGATTAGCCAGTAAAGCTGAAAAGGAGTTAAAAAACTAAGATTAGAACAACCAGCCGAAAGATGGGAAGAAGATCTATATCCTGCAATATATATGGCAAACTTTGCGTCAAAAAAAAACATATATGGCAAACGATTACTCATATACATATGTAGGCATGAATTAGAGAGAGGGGAATGGAGAAATGTCACGACGTCGCGAACGCAGCACAACGGAAAGTAAACAAACAAGGGGATTTGGATTTTAGACTGGGGATTCAGTGTGGTGAAGCATAAGAGGTCCCTCGCCGACCTTTTCATCTCATGCGGATGCCACTGAAGAAAAAAGCAATCTTGCCGAATCACCGGAAGCTGCAACCTCACGAAGCCGAGGAGAGAGACGATGTGGGGAGCCGACTTTGAGTATGACGACGGCTAAGATTTAGACGGACACCACCGCAGACTTCGGATCGTATGGTCGGAACTGAACCACCGCGACCGGCGGAGAGGAGAACCGATGGGGAAGCTGGGCACGACATCTCGGTGACGCGGCCGCCGCCGTCGCCCGATGGCGGCACCCTAGTGTGGTCTGCTTTCGTCATGATGGCGGCGGTAGGCGGCGCACCTCATTGTCGTCGTCTGCTGCGCGGGTCCGACGGAGGAGTAGAGGCGAGAAGCGGTGGGGAAAAAGATGGATTTTGCGTCCAATGGACAGGGCCCATCGACGCTCTCTGCTCGGCAGAGAGAGCGTGTCGCCCAAGCGGCGTGGGCGTGGATCCAGGGCGAGGCGACGGAGGGAGCGAGGAAGAGGCGAGCAGGTGACGGAGGGAGCGAGGAAGATATCGTGGAGGAGGCGATGCGCCGGACCCAACCACATAAACGGGCCAGGCAACGACAGGACACCAAAAGGAGGCCTTGACACGCACGAGCTTTCGGAACAGAACACGTGGCAGTGAACAGTAACCAAGGGTGCTGAGAATGCGCCGATTCTAGGAGCTTTATGTAGTTTAATATTAATATACAATAATTGTAGCAAAGGTATGCTTTAATGGAATTTTCACTTTTTTTTATTTGGCCGCATTGCTCCATCGAAATACTCTTCTATTGTTCCTAAAATTGCTCACCAGTTAGTACACTAAAAAATCAAACTACATATTGCCTAGGAACTAAAGACTTCTGGCCTTCTAGGTACCCAAACCCATCTGGTCTGGGGTTCCTAGGGGCTTTTCTCGTTGCAGCAACACACGAAGGAGGTCAATGCCACTAACAAGAAAATTAGCAAGCTCATGACCTTTACGTCACTAACTGATCTTAGATGCCTTAATTTTTTGGAAGCAGGAACGAGGGAATGTTCTATAAGGACTTGTGAGCTTTGATGAATGTAGCTAACTGCATCCCTGATGTTTCGTATGCCCTGATTCACTACCTCCTTAGAATATTCCCCTCCTACCTCCTTAGAATATTCCCGTGGTTAGTCCTGATGCACTATACATTGTTCTATGTCCACTCTATGTAAACGTTCTGAAAACAAAAGTTACCATGGATAAATCACTAATATGTAAATATTCTGTTAGTCCTGATATTTGCATTTGAACAAGTAAATTTCATTCAAGTTTCAGGCTCCAAGAAAGAAATATATTTGTCATGCAGTTACTTGCATATGTACATTTTTTTTTACCCGAAGAATCCTGCACCAAACCGTGGGCGCCCGATAGGGCCACGTCACCCATTTGCCTGCTAACCGTTGGATTTAACGAGGACGCGAGCTGAACCATTCGATCTGGGTCATAACGGGTCCTTTCCCATTAAGCTGCGAACCCGCTCGTCCTCTTGCCCTCTCGGCCGCTGCTCCACTGCCGTTGCCGTGCCGTCTTGCACCTGCTGCCCGCCGCCGTCTACCACCCCTTCCTCCGGGCGCTGGCCTGCCCACGCGCCGCAGCTCGGTTAGAACATATGGTATCCAAGGACGCAAACCAAATTGACGATGACTTGGAGAAGCAAAGCATTCCCGTGCCAGGATGGAGACTAGGCACACTTACATTGTGGTGTGGTCAAAAAAGGGGCAGCTCCTGTTCCTTCCTTTTGCAAGTGACGATGCTCGGGTGGTTTCCATGCATGTGAATATGTGACAGCTTTTGGTGGAGCCTCTTTTGGTTCCTTCCGTCAACAACGACGCCGCACTGGGCTGGGCAGCTAGCGATGACGACGTGATTTGGTTCAGTTGACGGACGGCTCCTGGGCAGGCTTCGCTTGAATCGGATTGCACGAGTAGCTTCAGCACAACAGGCCGGTGCTGGAGGACAAAGACGCAAGAGTCTTTCTTTGGTTCAGTCTTCCAGTGGGTGAAATCGATCTGTGTAGACGCCCTCTCTTTCCAAAGTGCACTTAAGTGAGAAAGCGACGGCCATAAGTCGTGACCGGGAGTGAGGCGACAAGGTCGAACGCGCTCCGCGGCGCCATGCGCCATCCCCAGCGGCCCAGCGACGTGTCCCGGACGTGGATCGGACATGTTCCAGCGAGACGAGGAAAAGACTCGCGGGCGGGGGAAAGAAGTGTCGCTGTCGGCGAAGACTTGGACCGCGGATCTAAGTCAGTCTCCGGCCGGGTCAGCTCCATCACTTCTTTAATTAATCGAGAAGGAATTGTTGAGTTGTAGTTGTAGGGGCTGTGCTGTAGTGCTCTCCCCCGCGCGCCTGCATGCGGCTGAAGAACCGGCCAGCGCCCCGCTGCCGGCGCGTACATGGCTGCTCGCCTGCTACTGATTCGGCCAAAGCGTGGGGCGACTTCGCCTCTCCCTCTAGACCCAGGCAGCCGCCCACTCGCACTGCCAAGTGCCGACTGCACGTCGTCTCGTCTGCCTTTCTCCTTATCCTGCGTTGCTTGCTTGCTTAACTCTTTGCTGTTACAAACGCGTTGTGCCGTTGTGCCCACGTAAGAATTCCTGACTCATCTCATACGTATCATCTCACGCCATCTTCTTATCGAACTGGTATTAAACATGAGCTGCCGATGTTGTTGTTTCTGAGGTTAACCGCATACATACAAAGAGTTGCTTGTTTGTTACTAGTTTCTTTAGTTTCCTACTACGTACAAGGGACTGCTTCTCGGCCATGCCGGCCAGGACATGGCTCGCCGACCTGCGCTCGAGGCTCGGCGTCGGCCCCAGGGACGACGTCGACGGGCTTGGCATCCTGGCCTTCGAGGCAGCAGCCACCATGTCGCGGCTCGTGTCGCTCCACCGGACGGTGTCCGACGTCGAGGTCAGGAGGCTCCGCGCCGACGTCTTGCGCGCCGAGGGCGTCGCGCGGCTAACGTCCACGGACCAGGCTCTCCTGCTCCGTCTCGCGTGCGGCGAGCTCCTGGCGGACCTCGACCGCGCCGCCGACAGCGTGGCGCGCTTCGGTGCGCGGTGCTGCGCCGGCGCCGGCGACGCGCCGCTCCTGCGGGACTTCGACCGGATCTACGCCGACGCGAAGCGGGGCCGACTCGCGCAGCTGGACGCCACGGTCGGGTTCTCCAGGGGCGCTACGAAGCGGTTCAAGGAGATGGAGCGGCATGTGGTCGTGGCGGCGAAGCTGTACGCGGAGATGGACGCGCTCAGCGAGCTGGAGGCGTCGGAGCGGCGGATGGAGCAGTGGAAGCAGCACAGCGGGCCCATCCCGGCGCAGTCGTCGGGGACGGGCAAGAGGTCAGCGGCCGAACCCGGAGAGAAGCTGATGAGCAAGCTCAGGGCACAGCGGCAGAAGGTGCGACGGCTCATGGAGGGATCACTCTGGAACGTCGCCGCCGGCAAGGCGGCGAGGCTCATGGCCAAGTCGGTCCTCGCCGTGCTCGCACGCATCTCCCTTGCCTTTGGCGCGTCCGTTCCAGGCCTTCCACCTTGGACGGTAGGACGCGCGTGGGCGCTCGGTCATCATTCGTCCGGCCCGTTACACCGGTCGGCGACGCCCGCGGCGCTCCGGCACTCGGCTCCCATCTTCGGCCAGAAAGACGCCACCTCTCCACTTTTGGAATCGATCAAGCCATCAGTGAGCACGGTCAGCGGCTCGAGCATGGAGCTGCGATACGCGAACGTGATCTTGGCTGCCGAGACGTTGCTCGCGGCGCTGAGGCCGCCGGCGGCAGGTGACAGCGAGGAAGTGCAGGAAGGGATGATCGACCTGTCGAAGAGAGACGCGCTGTACAAGATGCTACCCGTCAGCATCCGCGAGGCCATGAACGCGAAGCTGAGAGAGAGCTGGAATAAAGGGCAACCGGTGGACGAGCTGGCTGCGGCGGAATCGAGGGATGCGGTGGAGCGTCTGCTGCGGTGGTTGAGCCCGTTGGCGCACGACACTGTGCGGTGGAACGACGAGCGGAGTATGGAGCGGGCGCAGCGGTTCAGCATGCAGCCGCGCGCGCTGATGGTGCAGACGCTGCACTTCGCCGACCGGCAGAAGACGGATGCTGCTATCGTTGATGTCCTCATCGACCTCAGCTGCATATGCTGGTACGACGATGAGCGGCGGCGGCTGGAGTCTCATGACTGGGACGACGAGTAGCAGCTACAGATTTTGGAGCTGTGATTGTATCGTGTGTGAATATCATGGTATGTAACTGCGAGTCATGTGTACATAGAGCAACTTAAGAGCCTTTCTATACAATCAAACTTTAGCCATTTAGGTAATGAAAAACACCCTCTTACGACTTTCCTATAAGCTACTCCATCTATTTCAAATTATAACAGCCTGTTCGGTTGGCTGGTTCGTATCGTTGCTGGTTCGTGAAGAAGTACTGCTGGCTGTTTCGTGTGAGAGAAAAATACTGTTCCGACTGGAAATTTACGATCGTTTACGACAAGCCGCGACCAAACGAACATGGCATAAGTCGTTCAGACTTTTGTAGGTACATAATATATTATGGTTTTCGTAGCTTGTATTCTATACTAAAAAACCAGAGCAACTTATAACTTGAAAGGGTGGAGATACATATGCCATATATTTTACACATTGTTGTATTCTACTTGAACTATAGAATGAGATTTTCTTTTCAACAATACGCATTTTGACTTCTCGTTTCACAACACATGATCAAGTTTCATAAGAGGGGAATTTGATATCTGTCAACAATGTCTGTTTTGATATTTCCAACTTATACTTGTCAATTGATTCAAGGTGAACTCCCAGATCAATCATTAATCATCCCCAAGTCATACTTCAAAGATTATCCATCGCAATACATGAATTGACTTGTCTTTACTTGAATCAATGATATCAGGGGCGGATCCAAAAATGGGCCAAGAGGAGGCTAAATAATAGAAGGAGGCTTCAAGTTGGGCTTCGATGCGGCTGCTGGGCTGAGCTGAAGGCGAGCTGGGCTGACTTGCTCCTTGTATGCTCCATACGATAAATATATGCTGACACAGTGAAAACGCATATATACATAAGTACGTGTCCCTTTATCCTTTTCACGTACTTTGGCTTGCCATTCTTCACGATATCAATCACATATAGAATGTGGTACTTGTTTGCTAATCATTTGAGCTTTGGGCCATAATGATTTATTCAATAATGCATTCTCAAATTCATATAATACAATCAAACTCAGCTTAACGCTTAACAAACTTGTTAGATCTTTAATCATGTTGTTATACGATTCAACAAAATCCACTAAAGAGCTGCTAGTTGCACATTCAATGTGTTCTCTAGGATTCAAACCCAGAACCCCATCCCTCTCCCACACACTACACACCCTCACACGACCCATCCTTACCATCCCACTACACAATTATTGCTAATAATAACATGGCAGCCATTCCTTTTGAACCATCAGTATTTTATTGGTGATTTTCTTAAACGAACCACTCGTAGAAATCTTTTCCAGATATGGTTAACTTCAGCATATGTCTCTATAAATTGTTCATGAAGCTATCATTTTAAAATAAATTTGAGAAATTCTAACAGATAGTTGTGCCCCTAAATGATTTCATATAAATAAAAAACAACTACAAAGTTGTAAATCTGATTGAGCTCTAAAATTTTAATATAAAATTTGTCTTCGTCTGACTTCATATAAAAAAAGTTATCAATTTTACATACGCGTCATTTTGAATTGGATCTCTACTGACGGTCGCATAAGATAACGACAACTAGAAATAATGGCGGACGTCTTAATAGCATCTCCAGTAGGTTACAAAAACAAACCTCATGCTCCATATTTGAGTAAGCAAAAAAATGCCTCCAATAGGCTAACTACTTGGCCCTCCATTGCTGACTACCCAAATTCTCTCCACCCCTACCTATTCCATGGGTCAAGTATGGCGCCTCTACTTTCTTGTTCTATTAGTTTACAACCTACCATGCTGACTCCACATCCCCGCCCCAGCCCTTAGCATGCATGTGCCACCGCCTCCCCGCCTGACGCCTCTCCCCCTCCTTGCCCAGCACCGCCTCCTTCCCGTTCGGCTCCTCCTTGTCGACAGAATATCGTCGGCAGTCCTCCGAGGGGTATCCCGCGAAGGTAGATTGATCGGCAGAGAGGCGTGTAATCAAGAACAAGAAGGCAACAGAGACACACGAGTTAGACAGATTCAGGCCGTCAATATGACGTAATACCCTACTCATGTGGTCTGTTGGATTGTATTGACTATCGTATGATATTACGTGTGTTTGGAGGGGGTCCCTACCCGCCTTATATAGTCCGGGAGGCAGGGTTATAAGTCGGTTAGATCTAGGAGATAACCTGTCGGTACAGAAAGTGACCAACTAGTGAATATTTATAGTTTTGCTGTATGTCGTGATCGGAGGTGGCCTAGCACTCAATGACACAGGATTTAGACTGGTTCGGGCAACGTGCCCTACGTACAGCGTGGGTTTGTTGGTGACTTTATTCCTGAGCCCAGGTGCTCGAAGTCTGTAGTGGGGTTACAAACAAGAAGGAGAAATGAGGGGTGTATGAGAGGCCCGGTCGGGTCCGACCGGAAGGGCCGAGGGCGACCGGAACTCCGCTATGAGCTAGGTGTTCAAGCGTGTGCTTGAGGGGTTTCTGAGCTATCGATCTAGTGAGCCTGAGCTTGAAGAAGTGGACCTCTAGAAAATCGATCTCCTTTGTTGGAGGGAGCGCATCCCCTTTTATAGATAAAGGGGGTGGCTTTACAGGTGAGAGGGAGAGAGTACGGATGTTTCTAAGTCTTGTTGCCCACGCCGAATGAGGGTAGTGATGATGGTTAGCACGCATAACACTGTTGATGTCGCTGTAGAATGTCAGGTGCACATGGGGGGTTGCGTTTGGCTTCTTTAGGAAGGGTGGACGTCGGTACCTATGAAATGCTATCAGTATATGAGGAGCCCCACCATGTGTACCAGGCTAAATCCTGGTGCCCACTATCGATGCCAAGAGGCATGTGGGGGGGGGGGCTTTTTGCCGTACGGGAGCCCCAACGGCGCCTACAATACTGTAGACATAAATGTCGGCGCCTACAATACTGTAGTCACAAATGTCGGTACCTCCCATACTGTTTATGTTAGGTCGGTTGTGGAGCACTGTTCCCGCAGGCGTACAGGGTATGGTCCTGGTACCGTGTGTTTGACTTTGTGCGCTACTTTCTCCGTTCGCACCTGGTCCCTTCCGAGCGGGAATCCCCGGTCGGATGGCTCCAGTCGGTACTGGCCGTGTAACAGAACCGCCCAATTTATACAAGATCAAGTACGGCTGTCCCCGCTAACACGTTGACACACACATACTTTCACTCATATAAACCCGGTAGTCCGCCGAGTGTCCTAAAAGACCTCGGTAAATCAACATCACAACCAAGATCGCGTGATTAAGCAAATACACATCACATACCCAGGGTTGCAGCGGAAATAATATTACAAATGGGTTCACAATTAAAGTACAAGTTTGAGTTTCAAAATCAATTAGTGAAAACAACATAGCTTTCAAAAGATTACATCAATATATGTTCCAAATACATTGCTAGCATAAGTGACATCATCCGACAAAAGTATATAGATGAGAAGTAACTATAGAATCACCGAGCCATCGGCGGTTAGCCACCATCTTCATTGGCCGAGAACTTCACCTGCAACATGGTGGGATAAACCCTGAGTACGAGAAGGTACTCAGCTAGACTTACCCGTCAAAACCAGAAATAAAGGACCCCAAGGGTCATGCAAGGCTTATGAGGTGGGCTAGCTTGACACAGTTGCATAAAAGAGCTTATGAAGATAGTGACCAATTTAAACTTAGCATCGAGTTTATCATCATTTACCTGCCCACTAGATTAGCATCTGTACTAGAGCACTCACTTATTAGGAGCAAACAATATTTAACCATAGCAGGTATAATAAGGCTGTCATCATCATATCATCATTTCTGAACCATTATGTTATTTAGTGTATCTACTTTGGAGATAAGCCCGTCAAGTTCTCACTAACCGGGAGAGACGGCGACTCGAATCGAATTACAACTCAGCTGAGGGGGTATTCCTAACTCTCACCCTGGCATACTTAGCAAGGGTAGCCGTGGGTCACCTTTGGAACAACTCAGGAACTAAATTCGCGGGTTCGATCAGCGCCAGCACTCTCAGGGATTACCCTTCTGCCAGGACGATTAGGACTTTTAAATCACCCCTGCCTTGGACTCACGCCTCGGCTCCCTTCTCGAGGCGCACTTTATACTTATCGACTCCCGGCCGAGGTGAGCTACTCGGCCATGGGTCGGTCTTGAGACATAGCCAACTAAGAGAGGCATGCATTCAACATGAACAGGAAAGGCTCCAAGATTCAGTCCTTAATCGACCTGAGACGGAGTCACGCAAAACAAGCAAGCCTCCGTCCGGGTCTTCATTTCAAATTAAGACTGGTTCTTTTCCATGATAGCAAATATAGCCAACCGTGCCATATGTATCTTCCTATCTCTCGCAGGTGACAGGAAATCACCTGACTTCTACCGTGTTTAAGTAGGGCTAAGCACTACACGAGCCTGAGCTACATAGGATTCAGGGTATCAATATCTGAACAAGGATTGGATAACCAATGCAGCAAGTGTTTGCATCCAACACCTAAACTTAATGCAACAATATATATATATATATATATATGTAACAATAATACTGTAACTACATTTCAAAAATTAGGAGGCTTAATATGCTCCGGGGCTTGCCTGGGATCCGACATAAGTCAGTTCAGTTAGGTTGCACTGTCCTGGTGACATCTCAGGTCCTAGCACTTGCTTAGTCCTTCCATCTTTGGGATAGATCCATCAAACGATGTCTTCGGGTTTGGCTCCAACATCGCATCCTTCACGTGGTGCATCTAGCATACCTAGATGAGATGCAATATGCAAGTGTATGAATACATGGAAGTGCAATAGACAATGCATCGCATGCAGTAAGACAAGCACAAGGTTACATTAATCATGCACAAGCACTTCGCATTGCCTACTTTAAATATCGCACAACTTATCATCCCACGATAGCAAAGAAGATGACAACCCAAGCATGACACAAATTTCCAAAGATCTCAGGTACTCTAACTCAACCATCATCAAAGGTATGAGCCAC